GGAAGCTTGAGATGGATGAGGCCCGTAAAATTTTGGATGATGCCAAGAAGAAGTGCTCTAAGCTGAGCTCAGCTACATACCATACACTTATCCGTGGGTATTGCAAGCTTGAACAGTTTGACGAGGCTCTTGGATTATTGAGAGAGATGAAGGAGCATGGTGTTCAACCCAGTGCGGATGAATATAATAAGCTGATCCAATCTCTTTGCCTAAACGCTTTGGATTGGGAAAAGGCTGAGAAGCTACTGGAGGAGATGAAGGGGAATGGGGTGCATCTCAATGCAATTACAAAAGGTCTTATAAGAGCAGTTAAGGAGATGGAGCAGGATGAATTAGAAAGGAAAGAAATGACAGTTGATGCATAAATTCTACAAGATAACTGTGTCGTGTGGTAGTCAGTTCTTGTAGCATTTACTATTTTGACGATAATTGCAGGTGAGTTCTTAGATTCTTTGTTTTTTTTTTTCCCCCTTGATTACGTTTTCTCTTTGCAGAACGTTCAAAGCTTAGAAGAAGTATGTTTTGTCTTTCGCCTATGGTTGGTTATTGGTGTTCTTCATTTGCCATTGCTAGCTCTAAAATAATAAAAACAGTTCTCCTTAGTGGGAAGGGGTAAAAATAATGATCATTTGCACCGACCATGCTGTTCTTATATTGCTTGAACCTCTGTACATACACAACACTGTCTTGTTTTTTTCCCTTTTAATTTGTATCTATTATATCCTTATTTTAAAGGAAACATATTTTATCTTGTTTGATGATTAGCGGTAAACGAGTCATTTCATCTCCCAAAAGGTTGAATTCTCAACCTCAATGACCTCCTACATCCAAATTCTACAAAGCATTTTTGGAAGGACTTAGTGGCTCAATAGACATGGTCAAATGCTAGTGGTAAACGAGTCACTATTGCTATGGCTGATTGCACGTCTGCACGTTATTTCAGCCGCCAGGAACTTATGAATCTTAGACAAATTGTAGCAAAGATTCTAAACTTGAAACTCAACACCACCACGATGGCATGATGCACATAAGAGTGTAGGTCACAACTGATGTGGCACGAGAATTAAACCGCACAATATGGTGAAATACAACTCATAATATTATAAAATCCTCAATTTAATAAGAGTTAATACCTTATTTGGTTCCTTGACTACGTACATTTACTTAATTTTGTCATTGACTTTAAAAGTTACTTATTTTGGTCCTTTGACTATTGATTTTGTTTAATTTGGTCCTTCGTTAGAAAAATGGTTAAATGACAATTAAATTTGAGAGTAAAATTGAAAGTTAAATAGTTGAGGATTATTTCCTGTATTATTATAATGGTTGAAGGACCAATTTAAGAATTAACTCTTTTGTAATTTATTTTATATGAAATTTTTTCTTTTAAAATTTTTGAATTATAGAAAAAGAATTACATCATGATCAAACACTAATTGTGTGTCTATTATATATATGTGTATATATATATATATATATATATATATATATATATATATATATTTCAAAATTTTCACTTATATGGAAATATGTGTTGTTTCATGTAAACTTTTGTTCATTCACTTGTCTAACTAGTATGCTCAAGTTTTAGTATCTATCTTTATAAAATTATAATTTGTGGTGTTTCATTAAACTAATTAACAATAAATTAATAAATAAATATAAAACTACTCTAATCCATGTCATATTTTTAATTAACTTGTCCAAAATTAGACTTTATTCAACATAATTAGTTTGATTAATTGATCAATGATCTAATTAATCAAATTAAATCTTAATCCAATCTACCAAATGCCCATCCAAATCATACATTTTTCTTTTTAATAAAGTCACTAATTGTATATTTTTATTATCGGTAAAATAGAACTAATATTATACAATGTCGAGTGTAATTATACAAAACATATGAAGATTCGTATTTGTATGCATGAATTATAAAATATGTAGCAAATAAACTTTATTTATAATCACTATTATGATTACTGATAGCATAAATGGATCTGGGGGTTACGATTACACTACGAATACGTATGTTTGTGAACAAGTAGAGAGGGCGTTTGTAGGTCAGTCGGTCTACCGGGTGATGACTGAGCGATCCAAGGCTAAGTAATACTACAAATATCAAGTGGGTTACTACAAATGGTGTAGATTGCAATTGTAGAGTGGATTATAAGCTGGTTGACATTACAAAGTGAAGATTACTAATAGGAAGTAGTTGTAATGATATGAAGATGAGAAGTGAGGCGGAGACCCTCCTATTTATACTAACTAAGTCGGTCGACGCATTTAATGCACATGCTGCAAGTGGCTTGATGTGGCGTCTTTTCGTTGGCTTGGTTAGACAGTTACTCTGCAGCTACTTGTGGGGTTGACTGACCGAGTGACCGAGGTGACAAAACCACCCTACCTGCAAGCTGTCAATCGCTATTCTACAAGTGCAAGTTGGCCCCTATAACTTGTGTAAGTTATGTTTTTCGACTTTGTAGGTTGTGTCACATTGTAGGCCGTCCGGTCAACCTACGGTAGACCAGCCGGGTAGCTTTCCGTCAGGGCGATTTTAAGGGTGATCCGAGATCATCTTTTTTTGTCACAAGGCCTATCGATAAGAGCGGTATGGTTGATCACAAGTGATTTAGTCCCGTCGGGTTGATGGCTACGACAGACCGATTGGGTGACTTCTTGACGAACCGACTATATGGGTTAGTCTTTTATGCGTATTAACCCATCAATTACATACAAACTTCACTTATCTATTTACTTATATCATCTATCCAACCACCTACCGATATACATCTACCATCACCTACATACTCTATCACCACTTATATTTACAAATTAGCATCACCACATTATTCAACCTGGAGGGTGTGGTTGAGTGGAAGAGACTCATCTATCCTTAACCAAAGGTTAATGGTTCGATCCTTAGGTTTGGGAATGGAGCAACTTTAAATCTCAAAGCTAAAAGAGAAAAAAAAACACCACATTCAATATTTTATATTTTTACTCAACCCATGTTTTTAGAAATGATAATAGATAGGTATTTTCTGTTTGGTCATTTTCAAATTTGAATCAGAATACATTTAGAACTACTCAAACATAAATGAATATTACCCATACATATATTCCAAACCCATTTGACGCTACCCATAGAATACTCAAAATAACCCCTAAACCTATTTAAACCACATGCATACTCGTACACACACACAATAATCAAGTATTGGGCACTAGAATTTCACAACTATCCGAACTCATTTCAAACTCGACTATCAACTATCCAAAGTCATCCTATTGTATTTTTGTGAATATTTTATATGTATGTTAATTGCTCAAATGGAACACACTAAGTTCTAACTTCACAGCTTGATATTAAAACTTGAGCATGCTATCCTATTAAAACTTGTGAATGAACTATAATTTTGATGAAACGCCACATATTTTTATCTTCATCTAAGTGAAAAATAAAAATCCTGAAAATGAAAAAGAAAGTGTAAAATAGACACACAATTACTGCTTGATCATAGTGTGATTCTTTTACTATAGTTCAAAAATTAATAAGGAAAAAATGTTGACATAAAAAAAAAAATCTCAAAAGATTTACTTCCTAAATTAGTCCATTGACTATTGAAGTAATATGCAAAATGGTCCTTTAACTATTGAAATTTCAATTTTGCCCTTGGATTTAAGGGTCACTTAACGATTTTCCTAACAGGGGACCAAATTGGGTGCAAAATCAATAGTCAAATGACCAAAATAAGTAGCTTTTAAAGTCAAGGATAACATTAGGTATAGGGAGTAAATACCCAAAATGGTCCCTCGACTATAGCTAAATTCACAAATTGGTCATCGACTTTTAATTTTAACCAATTAAGTCCTCAACTTTGCAATTTTAACACGATTTAGTCCTCCGTCTATTTGACCGTTTGTTGACTGTGATTTTTGAGAATATATATATGTAATTTCATGGTCCATCGTCGGGTTTTTAAGGTTCCGGTTGCATTTCCAGACCGCACTGTTACATTTGAATCACTGCTGAAAGCAAATTGCCAAATTTTGTCGCCTTTCTTCATCCCCTGTTTGGATTCAATGTAGTTGAGTTCGTACCAGAGCGAAGAGTTAAGAAAAGTGGGGTGTTACATGGGCGATAAACTGTGTCACGACAGCGGATGAGGGTGGGCGGCGGTGAAATCACATATATATCTTCAAAAATCACGGTCAACAAACGGTCAAATCGACGGAGGATCAAATCGTGTTAAAATTGCAAAGTTAAGGACTTAATTGGTTAAAATTGAAAGTCGGGGACCAATTTGTGAATTTAACTATAGTTGAGAGACCATTTTGGGTATTTACTCTAGGTATATGTGTATAGTTGAGGGACCAAATCAGGTATTAACTCATTTAATAATTGAGCAGGGGAATTATGAAATGTATACACACATGTACTATACATGTAAACACACCAGACACCTCTGAGGACTGTTCAGTCAACCATCTCAGCAACTCTACAGAAAAGCACAACAGCCTGTGCAATTAGTGTATGCTTGTGACTAGATGCAAAGAAATGCAGCTACAAACTATAGAAGTAAAGAGTAAAGAGGTATCTAGACAGCTCAATGTTGAAAATGAAAACTTTTCTAACAAATTTTCAAGGAAGTATGGTAAAAATCAACAGCAATGATTCAAAACATGATGGATGCTGATTAACAGTAATACTAGAAGGGTGCTCTGGAACACATTAAGATGATTTAAAACATGATGGATGCTGATTAACAGTAATACTAGAAGGGCGCTCGGGAACACATCAAGATGAAAAGTATCCTGCATTGCGGGTTTGAGTTTCTTCCTCATAATCAATTCCATTCAGATCTCTAAAGTTGTAAAGATAGCTGGAACGAAGGAGAGACAAAAGAACACCTCCTCAACATTGAACTTACCAGCCACTCTACACAAAATAAAGTTTTGAACCCTCAATGTCGTCAAAAGAAGGCAATCAGAAAACATTCACCTAAGTCAAATTTCACTCCAAAATTGAAAGTTCCAGATTGTATACACCAACTGATGTATGAAATTGAAATCGAAGCATTTTATGTTACGTTTTGCACGCAACCAGGAATGATTAATCCAAACTAGATGATCCGCAGCTTGCCAATAACAAAGAATTTCAAGTCTAATCATTCATTAAAAGGGAAGCCTTTTAACAATGTCAAATCCTAGAAACTAACTAACTGCATTGTGAACTAGAAAGTGCAGTTTGAAGCTCTGATCAAGATTCAAAATATAACAAGCAAGGAAAAAAGCATGAAAATCAAGAAACATGCGTACGCAATCAATCCGCGATGCTCATCTCCACACAATGCAAGCTCAACCACAAGTCTCGTGCAAACCCGTGTTGACCATATCACAAACACCCCAGCTGCAACCTTCATAGCCATTCCTTGGGGCAGGAAAAGCGCGACTGCGGATGAGAAAACTATGGGCAGCATACAATAGCCGATCAAGCTGAGACACTTGTATAGATCCAAGTTCCCGTTTCGGCCGGCCAGCATGTTGAACACAACGTACAGAAACAGAGAAGCCATGACCACCCACCCCAGTATGATTCCGAAATGGATCTTCCCGGCGAGCAATTGGAAGAGCCCGAAAGCCAATAGAAACAGGAACGGCCCTGAAAGATCAGCATCCTCGTGGAGATCGGCTTTTACCCGGAAGGGGTTGAGAATGGAGAGGGTTTTCAGGTAAATTTGCCTGGTGTTGATCCCGAGCTCCTCGAGAAGCGGCGGCTCGTGGTCGAACCCAGTGGAACCACCAATGCCGCCGCCTATAGCGGTGGATGCGAAGTGGGGAGTTGAAAAAGAGGAAGAGGCGGCGGCGGAACCCACATCGAAGGACATAAAGGGGATGCTAGGGCTGGATGACTTGGGCGGCTGAAACGGCGCTGTCGATTGAGGAGGGCGTTGCTGCGTTCCCGTGTTCCCACCTTGCCGGAAAACTACCGGCGGGACGTTGAATTCCTTCGTCATCAGCTATAGATCTTCAAATATCAATGCTAACAAAAATCGAAATTGAGTTAAAATCGTTCTAGGAATGCGAAAATACAGTTAAATTAAGGGTGTTTCGGACCCAATTTGTAAAGTAGAAAGCAAATGGGAGAAGAAGATTCCTTCGCTTGATTCTTAGCAAATATCGGAAACCCCCGTATCGACAGTGCCACTTCGGGCAAGCTGTTTAGATTCCACTGGTAGAGTGGTAGGGCAATAGTTATCTGTGTGGACCGTTTTGCCCGGGGGGAGAGAAATTTATTGTGGATCATGGTAAATGTAGCCAGGGCCTAGGCACGGAGTAATCGGCGCCTAGGCGCTAGGCACCCCTAGGTTGTGGCGATTCTCCTCTAGGCTCCCATCTAGGAGATCAGCCGCCTAGGCGCCCGCTTAACGCCTAATTCGGCCGCCTAGCGCCTAACTCGACCGATTACACCAAGTTAATTCGTCAATTTCTATCGAGTTAGCCGAATTAACTCGGCCGACTCGACCTGGCTAATTTTTTTCATATATATATATGTGTGTGTGTGTGTGTATGTATGTATGTATGTATGTATAATATGACATATATGCACCTACACACGCACACTATTTTTCATTTTTTTAGTTAGCCGTCTAGGCGCTAGGCGCTACTCTACCGCCCGACTAGCGCTTAGCGCCTATTGAAACCATGAATGTAGCAATGTGGTTCATGAGGTAAGTATTATTTGAATTACACTAGTTATATTTGACAATATTATTCTGTTTTTCAGTTTTATTTTCTATGCACACTAGTTTCATTATAGAAATAACTAAAGTATCATTTTAATTTTAATTGACAATATACATTATTGCATGAAATATATTTTGTAGTTTCATTTTCCATACACTAGTTTAATTATAATAATATTAAAGTATTATTTTAATTATACTCTAGATTCATTTGACAATATATGTTATTGTATGGTTCTGACTTTTATTTTTCATTTTTCACACATTAGTTTCATTATAACAACTATAAAGTATCATTTTAATTATACTACAATTTCATTTGACAATATACGTTGTTGAATGAGCTCTGTTTTTTAGTTTCATTTTCCTCCCACACACACTAGTTTCATTATAGCAATACTAAGATATCGTTTTAATTTTACTACAGTTTCATTTGACGACCATGGTCCACTGTATAACAATGAAAAAAAAAAAAAAAAAACAGACCGATCAAAAATACCGATGGCCGAAAATTGATCGGTTCGAATATTTCGATTTTTGGTTTGATTTCGATTATTGAGGTAATTATTTTTGGTTATTTTGTTTTTTTTGGTTAGTTATCGATTTTTCAAGAAAAATCAAACCCATCGAAAAATCGAAGATTAATCTAAATAAAAAAAATCGATATTATGTCACATTGTTATGTTATGCTTCGACATTATGTCACATTGTTATACTGACACTGCAAAAGCAGAGGAAAACTTTCAGATCCTTGGCCAGTTAAAAGATGCCAAAGTGTGGAAGATTTTAGGAGTTCTCCTTGATCCGAATACCGACTCTCTTCATGCTTGTAACTCTCGGGATGATTTGATTGGGGAGTCTTTGAGTGCAATTATTGGTGTACTTTGTGTTCTTGTTTGGTTGATTCACGTGGAGTACTTTCTCTCGTGGGAGTGGGAGTTTGTTAATGGAAGGCATATGAATTTTGAGAAGTGCACTGATTATTTTGAAATTGATGTTGTTTTGGCTGTCATCCCGGAAGACTTGCTAATAGTGCTTACAACATGTTGGGCTCTTGGTACTTGTCAAATGGTTGGTAGTGTTCCACGTGAATGGAATAATGTCTTCTATGCAAATCCTAGAATGCAAAGGGGCAGTAACTTTGTTTTTGATCCAGGTGGTACTTCCTTCCTTGATTTTTGGGGACAAAGATTTATTAAAGGGGGACAAGGAACTTTAGAGGGGAAGGTATTGTAACACCTCGAGCATGCAGCAGATCCTCGTGACGTCACGCAAGGCAAGAAACGGTGCCGTTTTACTCAGTTTGTTGCTAGGTTGTTATCTTATATTTTAGATAGAAATAATAGCTAGCTATCTTTAGTATATATAGGGATGAGACTTTATTGGAACAATATGCTTGGTTTTTACTCAATTGTTAATACAATTCTCTCGACCTATCCCTTCCTTCTTCTTCCCCAATCTCTGTTCTCGGTATCTCTTCCCCTTTTCTCTTCTATTTCCTCTTCTATTTCTCTGTCAATTTCTAGGTTCATTACACATATATGATCTATCATCCCATACAAAATACAAAATAATAATAAAACAGAATAAAGATGCATGGGATCGGAGTAGCAACTAACAACATGTATAAATTGAAAAATAAAATTATTTTCATTATTTTTCTGTGGTGAATTGAAGTTACTAACTCAAATCAGAAATACAATGGTCTGAAGAGGCTAAGAAACATAATGTTTATAGAGATGATGATATCCCAGTTCTTACTATTGGGGGGTGAGTTGCAAAGTAAAACTTTTTCCAATTGGTAGATTGAGACCAGGGATCTCCAAAACACCAGATGAGTTGGTGCTGCTATTAATTCCAAGAACAGTAACTTTCTCTATGATCCAAGTGCTGTTTCCTGCAAAATCTGGATTTGTGACCTCTGATGTGAGAGTAATATTGGTTCCCACTCCACTGGTTTGGAATTGCACTAAGCTCCACCCCCCTCCTGCCCCGGCCATCTCGATTTGCTCTCCATCGTCCAAGAAAACCTCACCAGAGCTGTTACCCGAGCTGCCAAGAGCCACCAGCAGCTCGAACGAAGTGTTGCGGGCTGCCTGTGTTGTCAATGCCGCTCCCTGCAGTGCCAGAATGTTGCCTTCCCGGAGATGCACGTTTATCTTTTCACGAGGGGCGTCCAGAGTGACATTCTTCCCGGTTTCTGCCACCACGGAGTTTGAGTAGTTGAAGAGATCATACCAGGTTCCAGCTGGGAAATAGGCCTCTACTGAAACGGCACCTTCAGTCAGAGCTGGTGAAATGAGCACCCCTTGGCCCAGGAGAAACTGGGTGTAAACCGCATATGTGTTGGTGTCCTCTGGGAATGAGAAGAAGAGCGGCCTTGCAATGGGGACACCCCGGGTGTGTGCTTCGTAATTCAATGTGTAGAAGTATGGGAGGAGGCGATAACGCAGACCGAGCGCTTGCCTAGCTGATGCAGCAACAGATTCCCAGAGATAAAGTTCATGGCGGTTGCTGGATTTGTCACCATGGTTTCTTGCAAAGGGATAGAATGCCCCTACCTACATTCATTCATATACATATAATATATATGTTAATAACAGATGATAGATGAGTGTTAGACTTGACCATTACCCGACAATGAGAAAGTTAATAATTAATTACCTGGATCCAGCGCTGGCAAAGCTCTTCTGTTGTACTTCTAAAAAAGCCACAAATATCAACTCCACCCATGGGAATCCCAAACAGTCCAAAATTCAAGATGGCCGGAATACTGAACCCCAAATCATCCCAACTAGCAGCATTGTCACCACTCCAGTGGGCAGTGTACTTGCCAGCACCCACGAAGGTAGATCGACCCAGCACGAATGGCCTTTTACCAGTAGCATTGATCAAGCCTAAGTTGGTGGCTCTGGCATTCAGGAATCCGTAGAGGTTGTGAACATTATACTCGGTAATGTTGCCAAAATGAAGGGCAGTTGCAGGGACAGTTCTCTCGTTGATTGCCCTCTGGTTTCCAGAGTTGTTGATCTTGTAGGGAGGGTTGTCGAGCGTGGAGGATTGATTGGAAGGAGAAGAAATGAAGTTAGCAATCTCATTCATGTCCACCCAAAGACCGTCGAATTGAGCAACATCCCAGAAAATCTTGATTTCATTGATCCAATAGTCAGTGGCTGCTGGGTTTATAAAGTCAGGGAAGTATACATTTCCAGGCCAGACTTGTCCCTGGTATGGCACGCCATCTCGCTTGATAAAGATATCAGCTGCCATGCCTCTGGTGAAGCTGGGATATGAATCGTTGTTAATGCCAATCCCTAATCAACAATATATATATATAATAGATTGAGTCAGTCATCAAAACAATTCAAAATTAAAATATGCCGGTGACACTAATTAAGCTAGCTAACCTGGATCAAGAATGAGCACATATCTCTGAGCATTCTGATGAAGTTTGTCAGTGAATGCCTTCATCCTATCCGCGGGAAAATTAGTAGGATTAAAAGTGAAAGCCCTGTAACCATCCATGTAATCAATATCAGTCCACATAACGTCAAGGGGTATTGAGGCGTTTGCATACCCAGCAACCACTCCTTCAACGTCGTCAATATTCGCATAACCATAGCGTGACTGGTGAAATCCAAAGGACCAGTAAGGCATAGGAGCAGGGCGGCCAATTAGCTCTGTATACTGCTCCATCACCAACTCAGGCGTCGGGCCGGCAAAGAAATACAGGTCAAGAATGCCACCAATGGTCTTATAGGTAATCCTATCGCCATTATACACAACATCCATTCCATTGCTGTTGAGCAGCAAGACCCCATGGGTGACCCCGGGTTGAGGGAGGGATCTCACGTCCATGTAAAAAGGGTGGGAGCCATAGAGATTGATGTCGCGATTGGAGCTGGGAATATCAGCAGCCCACATGGTGAGCGTTTGGGGGTACAGCAACTTGAATGTGGTCTTCGTGTGCTCTCCCAGCCCGTACAGAGACGAAGCGTTGGGTGGCAGTGACGACGAAAGCTGCAGATACTGATCCTTAAAGATCAAGAAGGTTTCATTGGAACCCGCCACCGGTGAGGCGTCGAAAAGGGTGTCGTTTGAGGACTTGCGTTGGACGGAGAAGCCGAAAGGAATGGTGTTGTAAAGGGTGAAAACCAGGTCGGAGTTTGGGTCGGAGATGGAAGACTGATTATTCTCTCCCACTGCAACCTGGGCGAGGGATAGGGAGGAAGAATTTGCAATTGTTGTGCGGGGAATGATGTCGTCTGGGATTTCCCATCTCGGATTATCTGCATCTGTGATCTTCACTCTCAGCCGACCTGCTGTCTCAATGCTGCATTCATGCAACACACATTTATTTAATTATATTAGTACCATTCCTTAAAATTCAAGAATTAATGTTGGGCCGAGACCGGTAAGAACAAAATCCAGCATCATCTGATTAGGGGAATTGTTGGGTGAGGCTGGTAATAGGCCTAGCACCATCATGTGACTAGAGGATTGTTAGGCAGATGTCAAAAAAGAACCAAGTCAAACACAATTTGAATAGGTGATTATTGGGCAAAGGGCTGGTAAAGTGTCAATTCCAATACTATGTGTCCAAGAGAATGTTGGGCAAATGCCAGCAAAGAGACAAGTCCGACACCATGTGGCTAGAGAATTGTTAGGGAAAGAGCTCGAAAAGAGTCAATTCTAGCACCATGTGTCCAGAGGGTTTTTGGATAGAGGCCGATAACAAGCCAAGTCCAGCACTTTAGCTCTAAAAAATATGTGGCAGTATAAGAAAAATAAAATAAAGTTAAAACATTCGCTACAAACTATAACTTTTGACGAAATGATATACATTTGATCTAACAAAAAATTAAACTACACTCTCAATTATATTATTACCTAGCAACAAGGCTGAGATTGACAATGTCAGGTCCATAAACAGATGAGTTCTGGATGACCTGAAGCTGGGCAGTCAACGTCTTGCCGGAGGCATCCACCGCCGACGAGATGACCTGATACCCAGACCCAACCTGTTGCGGCTGATCTTGTGCATTTACAGTGTTGCTGTTGTGTATCAACACCAACAAAATGCAAAGGAAAGAGCAGACTAGAGGAGCCTGCAGCTTTGGATTCTTGCTATTTCCCATCTCACTCGATACAAATGTTTCTGATTCTCGACTCACTAATTCTTGCACTATTTATATCTAAATTCTTGAGCTACATATGGTAAATGTTTTTACCATTCATTATTACAGTTGCGTTTTTTTTTTTTTTTTTTTCCTTTTACTATAATGGCATTAAATTATTATTTTCTTCCTAATAAGGGTGATTATGCACTAATTTTGGCTTGATTATTCACACAATGAATGAATGCAAATATATAGACGAAATAAAGTCAAACTTCATTATATATGTACTCATATATAAATCTTTTCTTTATATATGACTCACAAGTGACTCACAAGCAGTTTCCTAAATACAATGTTTGAACACTACACAATAATAAGGCTTAATCCCAAAACGCCAAATTTTTTTTAGGTAAATAAGGTAAGTGTTTTTATTACAGTTATTTGTTTCTTTTTTTTTTTTTTTAAACGTCTAGGTTATTCCACCCTTATCTAACTTTATAATCTAAAACTAGTATAGTGGATAATGACATATATTTCAATAATTATATTGTTTATCAAATTTAAATAATCTAAAAAATAAATAAATATTCAAATTCAAAATATTATATAATATTCAAACCATATATCTTATTATAATAAAGTATGTATAGTACTTAATATCAAATTTCACTTTATAATGACTTAGGGGTGTATTCGATCATGACTTTTGTAGAGTTTTAAAGACTTTTAAAATGATAAATTTTATTAAATTTTGATTGACTTTCATATAGTTGTTCAAAACTTTTTAAAACTTTATAATAATCTATAAAAGTGTATATAAAAACATTCATATATAAACTTTTATCAACTTTTTATTTTAAAAAGTCTACAAAAGTCATTGAAATTATAAATTGAATACATACTTACAAACTTTCAATGATTTTGATTCCTAACATTTATAATTTTCTTACAAAACATTTATAATATATCATAAAATTCTTCTTATTATATAGTTTTTCACCCACATCAACATTCTCAACATTATTATTTTTATCCATAGTATGCTAAGACTTATATGCTAATTACTTATATATATTATTAATAAACATCAACAAAAAAAAAACTATTTCATTAGAAATTCATAACAATATTGATCAATAAAATTTATAATAAAAGAATTGATCAAATAAAATATTTAAAAATATAATTACTAGTTGCATAAAATAAAATAAAAATAAAAATCTAATATTAATAATATATATAAAAAATTATACTTGATATATTACTAGGCATCACGCAAAGAACTATTATTTGCAATAGCAATTTGAGACTGCGAACAACAAGGTGCTACTATTTGCAACCCCAAATTGTTGTTACGAACAGTAGTTCGCTATTCGTAGTAACCTGTTGTTAAAAAAATGAAAAATATATATTACGAATATAAATATAAAAAGAAAATCAAAATATATAAGTATTTATATGAATATTATGAAACATATACTAAAATTTGACGATGAAAAATTTGTTTTTTCATGTATTTAGGGAGAATTAGAGAAAGTTAGGATAAAAAATTCGTAGAAAAAATAAAAATCAATATAAACAAACAATAATGAAGTACGGTAGCGGCATGGCCTGGGCGAGGTTCTGACGGGGTAGACGACATCGCACGCAGGCATGGCAACTCAGCGTGATGGTGGTGTGACCAGAATGACGGAAATGTGGGCCTATTTTGTGTTACAAGATGAAGAAGAGGGGGTGATGGCCGGAGGATGTCAGCAACCGGTGGACGACGAACCGGAGGTGGTTTATTCGGTTGTGGGTAAGTTTTTAACGGCTAAGCTTATTAAGGTTGAATATATGAAGCAGGTGCTCGCATCTGTGTGGATGCCGGTCATGGGGATGAGGGTTACGGAGATGCATACAAACTTGTTCCTTTTTGCCTTTTATGAGGAAACGGACATGGTACGGGTGCTTGAGGAGGGACCTTGGTCATTCGAGAATCATACCCTAGTGTGCAGACAAGTTCCGGATGGGATGCTTCCGGGGGAAGTACGGCTGGATACTATGGATATGTGGGTGCAAGTTTACGACCTACCGATTGGATATACAGATAATACAATATTGGAGCAGGTGGGGAATTATGTTGGGAAGTTCATCCGGTGTGATAACCGACATGTTGGACCGGTAAGAACCTTTTATCGGGTCCGTGTGGCGGTATCGGTGGACAAACCGTTGAAACGGCGAATGAAGTTGATTCGTAGGGACAAAACGTGGGGATGGATTAACCTGAAATATGAGCGATTACATAATTTTTGTTTCTACTGTGGGATGCTTGGCCACCTGGAGAAGTTTTGTTTGAAAGCACGAAGGTCCGGTCTCACTCCGAAATCTTACCCGTATGGACCATGGATGAGAGCGGGACAGGGTAGGGGTCCCAGGCAGATTGGCGCAGCGTGGCTGTTGCCGCCAGTGGAGGGAGCGGGTTCGGGTAGTGGCTCACGCCAGAGGGTGGAGGGAACAGCCTCCTCAGATGATAGCCAGAGTGATATACGGATGGCGGCTTCAGATGATGATGTAGCGGAAGGGGTGGTGGCTTCCTCGAAGCGCCGCCGTGCGGTGGTGGGTCAGGTCGGTGTAGAAGCGGTGGATAGTGGTTCAAAAAACTTGCATATGGCGAGAACTGGAGCCCAGTCCCGCTCGAACCAATGAGTACTTTGAGCTGGAACTGTCGTGGCTTGGGTAATCCACAGACAGTTCAGGAGATAGTGGACATGGTGTCCCGTAAGAAACCCGATTTTGTACTTTTGATTGAGACTATGGTGGCCCGGGATCATGCAGAGAGGCTACGGGTGAAAATTGAATTTGATGGCCTTTTTTATGTTGACAATGTAGGAGTGAGAGGTGGTATGGCACTACTGTGGAGGAAAAACAATACAGCTAGTTTACTGAGTTATTCAAAGAATCACGTGGATATCGAGGTGACTATGCCAGGGTTTCAAAAGTGGAGAATGACGGGGTTCTATGGTTTTGCACAGCGGTGGAGGCGGAATGAGTCATGGGAGCTTATTAGATCATTATCACATCGATCTCAGCTACCATGGGTCATGATAGGGGATTTCAATGATTTATTGTACCAGCATGAGAAACGAGGAGGGAATCCGCATCCAGAGGCACTTTTGCGAGGGTTTGGAGAAACCATAGATGAGTGTGGATTGGCCCAGTTACCAATGCAGGGGTACCCGTATACATGGGAGAGGGGTGAAGGGACTGTGGACTGGATTGAAGAAAGACTGGATAAGGTGTTGGTAACACAGGAGTGGCGTGATGTGGTTAGGGATGCCAGTGTCTTAAACATTCTGACCCGACAATCAGACCATTCTGCTCTCTTCCTTGGGATTCTGAATCTTCGGGAAAGACGGAATGGAATGAGACGAAGGTTCCGCTTTGAGATGGCTTGGCTATATGATGAGGGTTGTAGGGGGGTTGTGGAGAAAGCGTGGTTAGAAGGGAGGAATAAGGGGCTACAGGGTTGTATTCAGCTCTGTGGAGACAGACTATCACGATGGGGAGGGGATAGATTTCATAAGTTCGGTGAGCAGGCAATGAATCTTCGTAAACAGCAACTACGTTTACGAGGTTGTATGGATCATGCATCATTAGCAGAATACCAGCAATTGGAGGGGTGTCTGGCTCAGATTGAAATACAGGAGGATGCGTATTGGAAACAAAGGGCAAAGCAGCACTGGCTAAAGGGAGCGGATGCGAATACAAAATTTTATCACAGGTATGCTTCTCACCGTAAAAAGAAGAATACACTTGTTAAAATTATGAATGATGATGGGGATTGGGTGGAAGGAGAGACTATGGCGGCTGTTATAGTTGATTATTACAGACATATCTTTACTACGGAACAGACTGAGAGTGATGCTGAATTTTATGAAAATATTATGCCACGGGTGTCACAAGCACAGAATGATGACCTGTTACGGCCGTTTGACAAAACGGAGGTCAAGGCTGCGTTGACAGCTATGTTTCCTGATAAGGCACCGGGACCGGATGGAATGAATCCAGGTTTTTATCAGAATTATTGGGATGTGGTGGGTGAGGATGTGTCAGAGTTTATTGTGAATTGTCTGAATACTCGTTCTTTCCCAACTAATTTAAATGATACTGATATAGTTTTAATCCCCAAGAAAAAGAATCTGGAGCTAGTCTCGGATCTCCGACCAATAGCACTGAGTAACGTGATTTATAGAGTTATGGCAAAGATGATCTCGGCCAGGATGAAGCCCCTTATGGATGAGATAATATCTGATACGCAAAGTGCATTTATACCGGACAGATTAATAACTGATAATATTTTAGTTGCGGCAGAGGTTGGTCATTTTCTAAACAGGAAACAGTGTGGTATGACGGGATGGGGTGCATTGAAGTTGGATATGGCAAAGGCATATGATCGCATGGAATGGTCATTCCTACGTAATATGTTGAGGGCGTTGGGCTTTGATGATAGGTGGGTGGAGCTAATAATGTTATGTGTGACCACTGTATCTTATAACATTTTACTGAATGGTTCTCGCAGTTTGCCTATTGCTCCGACGCGTGGGCTTAAACAGGGAGATCCTTTATCCCCATATCTTTTTATTATCTGTGCTGAAGGTTTATCATTATTGCTACAACAGGCGCAGTCCCAAGGAAAAATCCATGGTTGTAGAGTTGCGAGAGGTGCACTGCCTATATCCCATTTGTTTTTTGCTGATGATAGCCTACTGTTTTTCAAGGCAAAGGTTCAGTAAGCTGAGGTAGTAAAACAGTGCTTATCACGATATGAAAGATTATCTGGCCAAGTGGTCAATTATCATAAATCAAACATCTGCTACAGTAAGAACACGAGAGATAATGACAGGAATGATGTGGCACTTATTTTGGGTGTGGACCAAGCTCCCAACTATGGGAAATATTTGGGGCTACCCTCTTTTATAGGGAGAAACAAAAAGGCAGCCTTCTCGTATATTGAGGACAAGATCAGGCAAAGGATTGTATCCTGGAATAAAAAACTATTAACACAGGCGAGCAAGGAAGTTTTATTGAAAAGTGTGGCTCAAGCTATGCCTACTTTTTCAATGAGCGTGTTCTTACTACCAATGGGGATATGTACAGCCATTGAGCGAACCATGAATCGTTACTGGTGGGGATCTGGGAATGACCGTGGCATCCATTGGAAGGCCTGGGATAGAATGTGTATACCAAAAAAGTATGGGGGTTTGGGTTTCAAGGAGTTACATGCTTTCAACCTGGCAATATTGGGTAAACAAGCATGGCGATTACTCACTAAGCCTGAGTCTCTAGTTTCAAAAGTTTATAAAGCCAGGTACTATCCTAAAGGGACATTTTATGAGGCGTGTGTGGGAAGTAATCCAAGCTACTGCTGGCGCAGTATCATGGCATCCCATGGTATGATATGTCAAGGGATCAGGAGGAGAATTGGAAACGGGGATACAACTTTAATATGGGACCATCCATGGTTGCAGGATCAACATGAGCCAAAGATTCAAACAGAAAAGCCTATATTTTTGAATGGTGCGACTGTTAAGGGGTTAGTGGACCCGGAGACATAGACATGGGATCTGGATATATTGACAGATATTTTTGATCCCATTGATATACCCAGGATTTTGAAAATACCAGTATCACCAGGCTATGATGATATGTGGTATTGGTATGGGGACCAGGGAGGAAACTATACAGTGAAGAATGGCTACAGAGCTATTATTGGAGAGCGTGACCATACTACGACCGGATTTAATAATTGGCTAGGCCTATGGAAGCTCAAAATACCTCCCAAATGGAAAACTTTCTTATGGAGAGCATTGAGTGATATCCTCCCCACTATGACAAATCTGATTATAAAGAGAGTGGATATACAACCAACATGTGCAATGTGTGGAGTGACTAATGAACACACAATGCATGCTCTAGTATTGTGTGACTATGCTAAGGCCATTTGGAGTCAATCCCACCTTCCAATCCCCATCAACAACACAAATATTTTCTATGATTGGTTTAGTGAACTATTAAATGTTTTAGACACTAACCAAATTACCCGCGCAGCTTCAATTTTGTATTACATTTGGAGAGCCAGGAATGGAGCGGTGTGGGATGCATGCCTACCGCGTCCGCGAAAGGTGATTGCCGCATCCGCTGCCGGAGTTTGTGCATGGCAGCAAGCGCACTCTATCCGAGACCCCTTGTTGGCGCAACGAACTGCTGTCTCGGCCGAGAACATGCAGGCTGCACCCCATCCTTTGGCCACGGCAGAAAGTATATCATCGGAACATCATGTGCCGCACAAATGTTATTTCGACGCCAGTTTCTCGCGACACACGGGGATGGCTACCGCTGGGGCGGTGTTGTTGACTGGAGGAGGAGAGTATGTATCGGCTTGCACTATACGATTACCGGATTGTCAGTCCCCACTTATGGCCGAAGCACTTGCGTGTAAGGAAGTACTATCATGGTTATGGGCTCGTGGAGATCACTCTATACAATTATTCACGGATTGTTTGACACTACAGCAATACCTCTCACACTCAGCGACCTCTCTTAGGTCGTATGTTGGCTATGCCATAGATGCCTGCAGGGCGCGTATCGTTACTTTTAATTTTTGTTCAGTTACTTACATTCCTAGATCAGAGAATTATTTAGCTCATACGTTAGCTTTACCTATTCCAAGTCAGCCTGTTACTATGTATGGGACTCTGTCCCGCCTCATGCTATTTCGCAGTATTTTGAATAAATGCCATGACGGCTCCTTTAAAAAAAAAACAATAATGAAGTAAAAATAATATTATTTCGAATTTTTAGATGAAGATTGTAAAGTGTAGGAGGGAGAAAATAATTGGTAGAGTTTAGGTATGCGGAAAATATAGGATAATGAAAGAAAAAAATAATTTTACTGAGTTTAGATAGGTTGAACTCCCACATGGGAGGTTGTGGGTTCGAGCCTCGCTATTGACTCTTTGTGCTTCATTAAAATTAAAAAATACCACATGACTTTTAAAGACTCTTCAAAAGTCTTAATCGAATACCACACAACTTTTAAAGACTCTTTAAAAATCTTGATTGAATACCGCATGACTTTTAAAGACTCTCTAAATGTTTGAATTGAATATCTCCAAACTTTTAAAGTTCATAAAAGTCTTCAAAACTCTACGAATGTCATGATTGAATACACCCCCTTTAGTGTTGGGATTAAAAAAAAAAAAGGATCATATACACATCACTTGTCAAACTACAAAAATACCATGGGCATACAAAGAGAACCCGTACTATACCAAAAAAAAAAAAAAAAAAAAAAACACACACACACACAAAGACTAAACCTAATTTGTAGGTATTTATAAGCAAGCTAAGGGACATCTAAAAGCTAGAGTGCAAAGTGACTTTGCTAGACACAAATTCTGAATTTGAAAATTTTAATTAAATGTAGTCAACACAACAAATAATGCATTTGGCTGCCCAAAATTATTAGAATTTGCATATACTAAACTACTACACTAAATATAATGTTCTATTAGTAAGTGCAGGCTATGTGTATTATTTAAGGTTTCCAAAATGAAATCGTAAATGAAGGTCATGTGTATTGCTCCCATGGTGGACCAGGGTCACATTCCATAGTAGATCATGGTCCAAAATGACATCGTTTTATATCAAATGTCAATTAGTACATCATATTTAATAATATTATCATAGACTATGTTCATAATATTTGTTCTATATCATAAATCAAACCTTAGTGTCCATAAACACAAAACTAAATATTCATAATATTCATTCTATATATTCATAAAAATAAAGTTTAATGTACATAGACAGTATACTATGAACACATCATGTTTAATAATATTCATTGTGTGTTATTATACTCATAATATTTGTTCTATATGTCTACAAACATAAACATTAATGTTCATAAACACTAAACTAAATATACATCATAGGTTTTCAATAAATAAATAAATATACACACACACACACACACACACACACACACACACACACACACACACACACACATCATCATCATATGTATTTACATTCACACCTATAGTAGATTCATAATGTTCTCCAAAACAAATTTTAATGTATATAAATATTATTATAGACGCATCATGTTTAATAACATTCATCTCGTACTATGTTCATAATATTTAGAAAAAAATTCACTTTTGGTCCTGTGGATATTATACATGAATGATACTTGGTCCTTGACTATTAAAATTTTCTAATTAGGTGCATGACTATGTAATTTGAAGCACATTTTGTCTTGTCGTCCAATTTTACAGCTAACTATATATTTCCAGAAGCACTGCAGTTACTTCTTCTAGAAGGAGCACTGCATGCATTTCCTTATTCCAGAAGGAGCACTTCCAACAATAGTTGGTCAAAAATTGGATGGCAGGACCAAATGTGATTCATGTATAATAGTCAGTGGACTAAAAGTGAAATTTATTCTAATATGTATTCTATATGTTTATAAACATAAGTTGTAATGTCCAAAAATCTTAAACTAAATGTACATCATATATTATGTATTTACGTTCATTTTATCATAGGTTTATAATGTTATTTCTATATGTTAATAAAAACAAAGCTTAATGTATATAAATATTACACAAAAGTAATGTCTTTATGTACCTATAAATTTGTTTAAAAAAAATAAAAATATATTGATGTGGATGTCATTCAAAACATCTTAATTAGAGTTTTTTTTTTTTTTTGGTGTAAACCACGAGGTGGTCCAAAGGGAATCATCACTTGTGGGAATTGAACCTAGGTTATCTCAAAATTCTCCCCTACAAAGAGAGCTCATTTGCCACTTGAGCTACCCTATTAGGTTAATTAATTAATTAGCGTTTTTTAATGATATATTGTTTATACATTAATTTTATTTTTACAAAAAGAAAAATAAACTCAAGTTGAAATTAATATAAAATTATCATATGAAAGGAAAATATAATTATTCCTATCTCTATTTCAATCTATCTATCAAAAGAATAAAAGGAAAATAAAATTACCATATGAAAGAAAAATCTCTATCTCTATCTATACAAAAAAAAAAAAAAAAATACGTCCACACTGGGCGGGAAAATGCTAAGCTGTGATTGGTCAAAACTCTAACAGCACGTTTGGTTCACGGAATGAATTTGGAGGGAATAGGAATGCTATTCCACATGGAATGGAATAGGTAAGGAATAGAATATGAATTGTATTCTGTTGTTTGGTTGGCTGAAGGAATAGACTTTAGTAATTGTATTCCAGTGTTTGGTTGGTTAAAGGAATAGAAATGGAATAGGTTTTAAAGACATAAATACCCTTATACATAATAATAATAATAATAATAATAATAATAATAATAATAATAATAATAATAATAATAATAACATAACAATAATAATAATAATGAATATGATTATTTATTTATATTTATATTTGTATTTATATACATGTATATGCATGTGTGTGTGAGATAATAATAATAATAATAATAATAATAATAATAATAATAATAATAATAATAATAATAATAATAATAATAATAATAATAATAATAATAATAATAATAATAATAATAAAAATAAAAATAATAATAATAATAATAATAATAATAATAATAATAATAATTATTATTATTATTATTATTATTATTATTATTATTATTATTATACAAATACATATTTATTTTTATATTTATTTTCTCACTTATCCCACATCGGTTGGAGAAGTAAGGAATGGAGCCTTGAGGCTCCTATAAAAGGAGCCTTAAGGCTCCATAATTTCAATTGCAATGCTCATCCGCTAGGCAAGCTTGCAATGCCCATCCGCTAGGCATGCAGATGAGCAGACTACTTAATTTAGGAGCCAAGGCTCCATAATTAAGGAGTCTTATACAGTTATTTTTTTTATTTACATATATATATATTTTTTATCTGACTTGTTTATTCCTGAGGATGTGGAGCGAATAAATATGATCCCTATTAGTCCTGATTACGAGGACTCATGGTATTGGATGAGTGACCCAAAGGGGACATATACAGTGAAGAATGCCTACAGGCGTATTGTGGGTGACTATGAAAATAATCCCACGTTTTTCGATAAATGGATTACAATGTGGAAAGTAAAAGTCCCCCCAAATGGAAAACTTTATTGTGGAGAGCCATATGTGACATTTTGCCAACAACCATTAACTTGATATGTAAAAGGGTGGAGGTGGACCCAACATGCCCAATGTGTGGTTTAGATCATGAAGATGTGTTACATGCTTTAGTGCTCTGTGAATATTCTAGACTTGTTTGGAATATAACACAATTGCCTATAACTAATATTGTTGCAGACTCTTTTACAACATGGCTAAAAGGGGCTATGGCGGTCTTGACGGAGGAGCAAACCTGGTTGATGGTAGCAGTATTATATTATATTTGGAGAGCCCGGAATTCAGCTGTCTAGAAGGGATCAATGACGCGGTCTGCCCAATTAGCCAGAGCAGCAACCGTAGCACTACAGGCGTACAACGCTGCCCAGCCCCGCCGTACCGAGCCGGCAGCGGCATCGGAGCCAT